GTTAGTCCGGCCATTCTAAGGTCCGGTATACGTTACCGATCAGTCCTCTGTGTTACACAATTCTACATGCTGGATCATTCTGTAATCCTGACAGTTGAGCTCTAAATAGAGGCATAACACATACAAGAATTTAGTGGGTTTTTTTGCTTTTTTTCCCCCTTTTTTTTCTCTCTTTTTCTTCCCTATCTTACCCCTTTCGCTGTCTTTCTTTCTCCTTCCTCTCTCTTTCCCTCTTCTTCATTTTTTTTTCTCTTTCTTTCCCTTCAATTGCTTAAACAAACAAAAAAAAACGTATATCTATTTCCCTAGAGGAACACTTTAAGCACCATAAGCACTACAGCGCGCTATGATGGTTATAGTGCCAGGAGTATCCTGGCCCCCCATGTAAGATGCTGAACAGTTTAGTATCAGTTTGACTTTTTACTTGGGGTCTTTTGCGTACCATTCCAGTCCTACTCTCTGCTCGAAGAAGAGATGGAAGCTCAATAGGAGCAGGTCAAGCTTTTTTTTGCTGAGATGGTTAGCTTACCACATTCAGCCAATGAGCTAAGCCCAATGAGCTAAGTTTACAGTGGAGAGTATGTGCCCACCGTCGACCTTTAGGAAGCAGCAGGTCACACCTAGCACCATATCCACCACAGCAAGATGTAATGGTTATGGTGCTTGTTTCTTTTAAACATTTTAATGGCCATGCACTAAATAAATAATTGTGAAGAATTGTCATTGGAAGTACAGAATTCAAACCAAGATATACAAAATGGACAAATGGACGAAGATATTATATGTCAGTTTCTAAATGGGGACTCCAACTTTGCTTTTGCTGGGTGTAATTTCAGGTATATTTCTGCATGTGCCTGCTTGGTCATTGGTCTAACATTTACTGCCAATGCGAGAGCTGTTGGGAGGTGGGCAGAGAAGTTAGGAAGTACAGGTGACCTTAAAGGGGAATAAATCAGAATAAGGAGATAAACATTAATTTTATGTCCTACTGCCACACAAATGTAAAAACGTATTGCTAGTTTTCTATCTTTCCGCACAAATGTCTGACACACAAAATAATCTTCAATTATAATCTAATAATCTAACATGATTGCAACAAACAATGAAAATATGACCTTGGAGAATTAACCAACTTCTATACTAATAAAGTTACTGCAATAAAACAGACTGACGTATATAGACATTTTGAGTTGATGGTTGTTGCTGATTTTACAAATTAGCAATACCGTACATGAGAATCATTCAACAACAACATAATATTCTTTTTTTCTGTGATGAAGTCAGAGGCACACCTTTCCCAATCCAAAGTTCAAGAGGAGATAGTTCATGAGGAAGTTACCTCGATGTGAAAGATGCTTTTTTTTTCATAAGAGCTTTGCTGATTTCAGGGTTTTTGCCATGAGAACTTTCATATTCCCTAAACAAAATATTTTATACAAAAGAACAAGAAATAAAGCAGAATGATTGCTTGGAAAACCACGTCGAAAAATGGCTTTTATATTTTCATCTCTGTTATGGCAGTGAGTTTGGTATTCATGGCACTGCCTCGGGGCCTGTTTGAAAGAATAAATCACTTATACTATTTACCTCTAGCACTTGACTACTAATGGAGGAGCAATACAAAACAATATATTCCACCACTAATTTTTAAGTAAAAAGTGTTAATATTTAAAGGGTTTCTCCAACCACCATGACCACTTGAGTGATTTGAAGTGAGTAGAAATAAATGCCATTAACTACTTATATGTGTGTGCAACACTATAGTGGACCCAAATAATTCAGAACCTGAACAAACATGACTGAAATATCAAGAAAGTCTTAAAATTGCATTAAACATGGTTTTTAACCTCCTAGATTCTCCCTCAAAAAATGTATCCTATGAAGATCAGCCTGTAGATTCCCTGGCTGGATTCATTAAGCTATTTGTGTGTTCAATAACACGAATACATTAGTAATTGGGAGACATATTGTTTCATAAAATGGCAGTGAACAAACAAAACAAAGAAGCAAATTTTGTTTTATTTGGAGACAATTTCATTAAGGATCTAAAGCACGTTCCTGAACCTGTTTAAGTTCTTAGATAATGCTCAATCTAAACATGTTAGTATGGCTGGCAGAAGTAAGGTTTATCTCTGTATCAAGACATTCATATAGTAAAGGGATTCTATAGTGCCAGAAAAACAAAGTAGTTTTCCTGGCACTATAGGCTCCTGCAGTGCCCCCCTCCTTTGCATCCCCCCTCCCTTGGTGTTAAAGGCGTTAAAACCCTTTCAGTAACTTACCTGAATTCAGCGCAGATGTCCTTTGGTGCCGATGTCAGCTGGCGGGGGAGCCCTAATGCACATGCGCGGCAATAGCTGCACTCGCATTAGTATTTCCTTATAGGAAAGCGTTATTTAAAGAATCTGACGCTGGATGTCCTCATGCAGAGCGTGAGGACGTCCAGATTCGGATAACAGACCAAAGGTCCGTTTCGATTCCGGAAGTCCCTCTAATGGCTGTCTAGTAGACAGCCACTAGAGAAGGAGTTAAACCTCAGAAGTAATTATTGCATTTTTTTCAGAAACTGCAATAATTACAACTGTAGGGTTAATGGACATGGGACATTGCACCCAGACCACTTCAAAGAGCTGAAGTGGTCTGGGTGCCTACCGTGTCCCTTAAGTACATTTCCCAATCAAAAGATATATTTTAACACCCATTTAAAAAATAAATAGTTCCTCCCCTATATAATTTTTACGTTTATTAACATATCTTTAGAGCAAATATATTATAATTGTAATTATAAGTGTAATTAATCCCTTTTGATAGGACCCACTGTAGGCACAACCATTCAAACATCATAAATTTAGATTCTGCTACTTTTTTTTTTTTTTTAAATCATAATTTATTAAAGGTTTTTTGTAAGTTGTTTTTGGATTTCCTTCATGGACTCTAGGTTGCTACACGCAGGTACCCGTATCGGTGCATATAATTCCGTGCTCGCAGGCACTGTCCATGTTACCGACATATTAGTTTGGTATATGCAGGTACCTATTTTGAGAGTAAAAACTGAGCTGGGATGCACAGATCCCTTCGAATAGATAAAGGTGGTTATATACAGAACTTAGAAACAAACTCTGCTACTTTTTTGACCCCTTCAGATTGGGCAAAATTTTTAACCTGCACATATCGAAATAAATCTCTGGTGGCCAAAGGAAAAACAGACTTCAGTTCCTGAAACAAGGGAATTTCCCCTCCACTTGTAATAATCCCCCCATGTCCCAGGGCCCCACATTTGGAGGAAATTAGCGATTGTGCAATACCGGAAAGGAAAGGGGCTCGAGGCCATTCCAAAATGTAATCTTATTCTGTCTCAGATTTGTAATGAGGGGGTTGTTTTCCGGCACAGTGTCATTGGTAGGGCCCTTTCAGTCTTGTCATGCTACATATAAAATGGTGGCAGGCCAGAGCCTATGAGCATACTCCAAGCCAACCCATTTCCTCTCTTCCGGCAGCACAAGCCGCATCACTGTTTGGGCCAATTGAGATGCTTAACAGTACATCAATAAATTAGGAAGGCCCTAAGTCCCAACTGATTTGGTCTGTATAACTTATTTCTAGCAAGGCAATGTTTCTTATTATGTCATATAATGGAGTCAATTGCCCTTTGCAGAGATTCCAAACCTCTCCTAGATTCCAAACCTCTCCTAGACAAGAGGAGGAGGAGGGCTTGAATAAAGAACAGCACCTGTGGCAGTACCTTAATTTTTATGCAATGCAATCTCCAAACCCATGAAATTAGTTTCCCATCCCATTTCTCCAAATCCCTTTTTAATGTTTCAGATAGGGGCAAGTAATTAGCCTTAAACAGCATATCAGGTGAGCAGGTAACCTGTATTCCTAAATATCTCAATATTGGGCAGATTAGATGGTCTGAATAGTTCTAATCACATTCTATGTTTCTAAGACACCACCGGCAGCAAATATTCAAATCATACCAGTGTGTTGTCATAAAATCGAATAAGCCCATTTTGGCATTTCTAGTTAGCAGGGCTCTCTGTTTACAATATTCTCTTCGGCTTCTGATGGAGTGCAATAATTGGACAGTTGATATTTTAACAAATTTGTGATTTGGCAAGCCTTAAATGAATCCAACATGCTGTTGAGATATTTGTCAAGAACACTTGGTTTAGTATCCGCTCCTATGCAGGTGATTTTTCCAGGCCCATTCTGCTACAGAGCTCTGCAATAGCTAAAGTCAAAACGTATCTATCTGAGCCTATATTATTCTTAAATAGTGGCATGAGACCAAGAAACCCATGAGGAGCTTCATTGGTGGATTGTAAGTGCGAACTTCAGCATAATGATAGAATAAGATGCCAGCAGAGTAACCTGGTGTGCACCCTGTGCAGCTTCTTCCAAAAATCAGCAAAAGGTCTGAGAAGAAAAACAAATTACATATCATTTGCCTGGATCACTTGGCAGGATCATCAATACTCAAGTTTGATCAAAGTCAAGACCATTCATTATGTCAGTCACATAAGACGTTTGAATTTGAAAAATTAATTTTTTTAGTTAAGAAATTTTGGTAGTTATCCTCAAAACCCAATATATTTGTCCAACCCGAATATTGCCAGGCGTTTCCAATATATCTGAATCAAGCATTTCCACCATTTCTATTGAAGATTTTATTTCAGGTCAAGACATGGAATTCAAAGCTGATGAGACCTTTCTGCAGCTCCATTAAAACTGAATAATTTTCTTAAAGTATCTCTATGAGTTACAAAAAGCTTAGAAAACCAACATCATTATAGCTTTATCAACAGACTTTTTTTGTTTTCTCCACTGTTCATAAGACCTAGAATTTCCACTTGGGAAGTGACGTTAGTTAAAAATTTCCGTGATCAGAGGCTGAAACAAAATTGGTCTCTTCAACGAGCTGAATATATATACTGAAATATTTAAAAGGTATTTGATCAGGGAGGTGGAATTTTTGTGTGTGTGTAAATCTACTTTTACTGACACAAAATAATTTCATATAAATGTATTAGGGGCTTACCGTGCATTATAATAAACAATTTGTGGAGGTCCTCTACCTGCACTTTCTGGCGGCGTATAATTCACTCACTCAGGGTCAGAAAATCTCAGATAGGACACTGGCGGTTAATATTGCCCTAAAACTTAAAGAGGATTTGGAGCAGTCAGTGAACTATCAACCATGCTGAAGTGCGACCTGAAGTTATTTGCGAAAATCCTGGCCACTAGATTGAGACCTTTCTTGCCGTACCTAATGAAGCCTGATCAAGTGTTCTTTATCCCACATAGAGAGGCCAGAGATCACACCACAAGAGTGCTCTCATTGATACACCGGGCCCAGATGTTGGGAGGGGATTTCCTTCTGTTATCCAGAGATGCCAAGAAGGTTTTTAATTGGGTGAGATGGGATTTCCATTTTCAGACCTTACGGGATCACGAGAAACCTCTCCCAGCTCTACCAAACAAACTTTGCCCCCTTGCTCAATGCTTTCAGAAAGCATTTCAAGGAATGGATGCTGCCCCTTATATTGAGCAGATTCAGATAGGCGGATCCTTGTCTGCCTGCAACTATTCAAGTTCACCACTTGGTTGTCGGGAACAAAACCCTTCTTTTGGCTGACTTATTAGCTGGTTCCCCTGGCACGTTCTATATAAACTGAGATACACACAGCTGAAACACTTTTTAGACTTCATACCCCAATGCCCAGACTTGAGCAGGTCTGTGGCCCAATTGGAACTTCTATGTGATGACGAGAACCCCAGCTACATGCTATCTCCCTATTATACAACGTGCTCCAACAAAATAAGAACCATCCATCTACCTTTGTTTCAGGGCAAATGGGAAATGACAATGGGGGAGGGAAGATCTGTGACCTGCTTCACCATTGTGCATTGGCCAATAAAATGCAGGAAACCGTGTATAAACTTTTGTCATTATGGTATAGAACACGCAATTTCTCCACAGTATCAACTCAACCCTTAATGAAGATTGCTGGCGTTGTCATGCTGCCTTAGGTACCTTTTAACATATCTGGTGGGAATGCCCGAAGATAAAATCTTTTTGGACTGCAATTCATAATGTTCTGAAGATGTTTTTTGACAACCCTCCTCCTTTCTGACCTGCCCCATTCCTTTTGTACCACACCACTACCTCGACAGCTAGATACAAGAAATACCTGACTATTCGGATACTAAACACTGCAAAACAAACTATATCCCTATACTGGAAAAGGGACATCCCCCACCCCTTACTTTGTGGTTTGACAAAATGGAAGACTTACAACATCTAGATGAATTGACATTCTTGGCCCAGGGCCCCATACAGGATACACAGGAGACATGACATGAACTCATTGGTTGACTGTAGTTTTTGAAGCTGACTTTTGGAGGTTACTGACGTATGATTGCCCGACAGGAGACGCATGTGAGGACAGAGGTGACACTCAGGGGGTTGAACTCCTATCTCCGGGGACCTCGGCCAATGGTCAGCAGTGTGTCCCCAGTAATTCAAGGCATGACTCTTTAATGTGCTTATCTTTTTCTTTTCTTTTTTTTCTAAATGTGTTCTTATGTTACAAGATATTGGCTCCATGGGATGGGGTTCATTCGATCCCTAAACTTTTTGCTTTTCACTAATTTACTGTTTAAGGTTACTGCTGTATATCCATTTTACTTCTGCCTCCACCGGACACAAGAATGGACACATACGGTTTACCTGTTTTAACAGATATGTTACTTTATGTTTTGTTTACAGGACTTTGATATAAATTATTTTATAATCCATATTCCTGTTTATGCACCTTATTTTTGCCCTGCGTGGCAAACAAAATTTTTTTTTGTTTTTTCTCAACATTATTTTCTTTTTACTAATCATATCTATGGCTGATATGCCTACTATTTTGTTGCAAAATAAAAATCTAATTCACAAAAAAAAAAAAGGATTGGGGCTCCTGCCTAGAGCTGTGGACATTGACAAGGCTATTTGTTAAAACTCGAGCTATTTGTTAAAAATCGAGTATGCAGTCTGTGCTGGTTGTATGTGATGTGTGTATGTGTGTTGGCTGTGTGATGTGTGTGCTGGCTGCCTGTGGTTGTGATACACACTGCCCTATACACAAACATACTGACACATACACACACTGAGTCATACACAAACACACTGGCACACACGCTGACCCATACACAAACACATTGCACAGTGCCACACACATACTGACCCATACACAAACACACTGACACACACATGTTGACCCATACACAAATACACACTGATCCATACACAAACAAACTGCAGACTGACACATACACACATAAACTACACATTCTCTGACACACACACAGCACAGATTACAAGCAGTTGTTCACTTTGCCCCTTACAGCGTGTTGACAGGTAGCCATTAGTTCTGAACAATGTGAGGAGCAGTTGGCTGCTGCCACTCCTCACACCTCCCTACGAGCTGCAGTCTGCCCCAGTTATGGCGTCTCATTACACCTGTCGGAGATACACTTCTGGCCGGACACCAACTCCCCTAAAGGTAGCCCTGCCGCTTGGGCAGGGCTGAAAGAATAAAAAAAATCTTCCTGCCTGGATGTCAGGCGATAAAAATTTCCACATCCCTGTTGATGCATTGCTATATTGAAATCTTGTCCAATAATCTTGTCATATTCAAGCAAATTTTCTGTTGCTGCTCCATATCCTCATGTACCATCGCCCCCTGTTGTTCACACTGGAAATTACTGTCAAGTATGACCTAATTTTTCCAAGGATGTGATAAGATATAAGGAAACCAATAATGCTTGCAAAAAGGCAATTAAAGTAGCTAAACTAGAAAATGAGAAATTGACAGCCACAGAAAACAAATCCAACCCCACAATTTTTTTTCAAGTACATCAATTCTAAAAATATCGAAAAAATTAAAGTGAAGGTGGAAACACTGGAAACAGAGATGGGTCTGTTAGTTAATGAAGACGAGGGAAAGGCAGAAATTTTAAATAACTATTTTTCTTCAGTATATATTAATTATGGCAAGAGATATGCAAATGATTGTTGCAAAAAACATGCAGATAACTTCTGATTGGATGAGTCACAACAAGGTGCTACAGTAGTTAAAGAAAATTAATGTAAATAAAGCTCTGGGGTGTGACGGTATTCACCCACGAGTACTTAAGGAGCTGTGTTGAAGAAAGTGAACCTCTGTATTTAATCTTTTAAGATTCTTTTCTTTCAGGAATTGTACTGGAGGATTGGAGGAAGGCAGATATCATTACTATATTTAAAAAGTGTTCAAAATCATTGCCTGGAAATTATAGACATATGAGCTTATCTTCTGTGACTGGGAAAGTATTTGAAGGGCTATTAAGGGATAATCTTCAGGAATTCATTGGGAAGAACTTTATTAGCAATAATCAGCATGGTTTTATGAAACATAAGCCATGTCAAACTAACCTTATTGCATTCTACGAAGAAGTAAGTAGACGTATAGATCAGGGTGTTGCAAATGTGATCTACTTGGATTTTGCCAAGGCATTTGATACGGTTCCTCCCAATGTTTAAACTAAAAGAAATTGGTCTAGATTAATATTCTTGGGTAGAACATTGGCTTAAGGATAGCGTACCATGAGTTGTCATTAATGGTAAATTTTCAAAGTGAACAAAAATGGTAAGTGATATCCCTCAGTGTTCTGTTTTGGGACCGTTTCTATTTAACATATTTATAAATTATCCTGAAATTGCAGATGACAAAAAACTTTGTAAAGTAATAAAATGTGAGCAGGATATTGCATTGCTTCAGAGGGATTTAGATAGATTGGGGGACTGGGTACTAAAATGGCAGATGAAATTTAGTATAGAGAAATGCTAAGTTTTGCACTTTGGGGTAAAGAATGCCCAAGCAACTTACACTCTAAATGGTAGTGAATTAGGGATCACAACACACAAGAAGGACTTGGGAATTGTTATAGGCAACACATTAGGCAGCAATATGCAATGTCAACCTGCAGTTGCTAAGGCCGGTAAGGTTTTGTCATGTATAAATAGGGGCATAAATCCTCGGGATGAAAATATAATTTTGCCTCAATATAAATCGCTGGTAAATCTTGAATATGCTGTGCAATTTTGGGCACCTGTTCTAAAGAAAGATATCATGGCACTAGAAAAAGTGCAGAGATGAGCTACAAAATTGATAAAAAGAATGGAGCATTTTAGTTATGAAGAAAGGTTAAAAGAATTACATTTCTTTAGTTTGGAAAAACGGCGCCTGAGAGGGGATATGATAATATTATACAAATATATTTTGGCCAGTACAAACCATTATCTGGAAATCTATTCATAAAAAGAGCTTTACATAGGATACATGTCACACATTTAGGCTGGAAGAAATGAGATTTAGTCTAAGGCAAAGAAAAGTTGTTTTTTTTACAGTAAGAGCAATAAGGATATAGAATTCTCTGCCTGAAGTGGTGGTTTTATCAGAGTCCATACAGATGTTTAAACTGCAATTGGATAAATACTTCCAAAAACAAAACATACAGGATTATAATTTCTAATTAGTGGGGTAATAGCTGCTTGATCCAAGGAGACATCTGACTGCTATTTTGGAATCAAGAAGGAATTTTTTCCTAGTTTGTTGCAAAATTGGAAGCGCTTCAGACTGGGTTTTTTTTTGCCTTCTTTTGGATTAACAGCAAAAACATATGTGAGGAAGGCTGAACTTGTTGGATGCAAGTCTCTTTTCGGCTATGTAACTATGTGGGGATCCTGATCCCATAAAATAGCATTCAATTTGGGAAAATATGATGGGTAATGAGTCCAGAAAATGTACTGAATTTAACTGCAGGTTGGATGAGTTTTAAAGCATTTCAAGTTTCCCCATGTAGGTCCTGAAATTAGTTTAGCAAATAACCACTTAACCACAGTTTGACCAAACAAAGCTTATTTAATCATCTTGTAGGTGAGGATCTCTAGGTATTAGAAGTACCTTCCATGCTGATTGAGCATATGTCACTTTCAAGTCTTTTGCAGGCAGGTGGTTACTTACCTCTGCCACTAGAGGGAGACAGTTGCCTGTCATTGGTTTGTATTGACGTAGAAATTATTTTTTTAAAGAGGAACTCCTGTTAATGTAGTGTGTTTTAGTTGCTCTGTAGGGGTACTTCATAGAGCTCAGAAGTTTCCCCTGATTAGCAATATTTGGTTAAAATTCTCAAATAGGTGTCATATATTTTATGTGTTACTTATTTTGGAGCAGTCAGAAAGAACAATTAATTGTCTACTAAAAAGAAAAAAAATTAAAATATTAGAACTTTGCACATAAAATAAACATTTAGACATTCATGAAACACTAAATTGCTTCAAAATTAACTTTTACATTTCACCACACAGGTACATTTGGAGATTGCAAAATGCAGGCAACTTACATTAAAACTGTAATGATAAATATATTTTTTTTTAAATTAATTAAACAGACGTTCCCAGATCCTATTAAAGGGACACTCCAGGCACCCAGACCACTTCTGCCCATTGGAGTGGTCTGCGTGCCAACTCCCACTACTCTTAACCCTGCAAGTGTAATTATTGCAGTTTTTATAAACTGCAATAATTACCTTGCAGGGTTAACTCCTCCTCTATTGGCTGTCTACTAGACAGCCACTAGAGGGCACTTCATAACTGATTCATAGCACAGGTTTTCTGTGCTATAGCGTCCCCGGACGTCCTCACGCTGTGTGAGGACCTCCAGCGTCGCTAATATCCCCATAGGAGAGCATTTTCAATGCTTTCCTATGGAGAGGTCTAATGCGCGTGCGCGGCATGGCCGCGCATGCGCATTAGGTCTCCCCCGCCGGCGGGTGGGATCTGTTTCCCCCTCCGGATGACGTGGGGGAGTGTGGATGGACCAAGAAGCAGCGGCGAGGGACATCGTCGCTGCCTCTGGTAAGTCAATTAAGGGGTTTTAAACCCTTCAGCAACCGGGGATGGGAGGTGGGAGGGAGAGGGGACCTGCAGTGCCAGGAAAACAGATTGTTTTCCTGGCACTGGAGTGTCCCTTTAACATGTGGGTAAGTGATATGGCCACTCATTTTATCACACCATGGGAAACAGTTACAATTATTTATATAGTCCAAAATATTCCTTAGCACTGTACAATAGGTAAACAAAATGAACATTTAATTCTAACAAAACAAATATGCCATACAGGAACAGGAGATGAAGAGGGCCTTGCCCAAAAGAGCTTACAATCTAAAGAATATTAAACAATATTGGCTTTAAAGGCACACTAACATTAAATGACATTGGACATAAATACTTTCAGTAACTAAAAAGTCTTTATTGAGTTAGCGCTTCTAATGGCTATCACAGTCTGGAACTTCCCTAGGTCCAGTCTTCTCCAGAAGAAAATCTTGATTGGTCTTGATTGTCAGGGTC